ACCTAGCTTGCACTCTTTTATGGGGTTTTAAATTACTTGAATAATTGTTCGTATGGTTGAAGAGTTTTGATTTTGGAATGACCCGAATCACTATGTACATTTCAATGCTGTGGTAGACAGAATATATGAATTAATTTATTGCTATGCCATGAGGTGACAAACTGCTAAAACATGACCTGCTGCCATAACATTTTAAGATGTGAAACCATGCATCGCTTTAGCTTTGAATCATGTGTTTAAACACCTGGTGTCATTAGCATTGAATCTAGAAGTTCTCTTAATGCAAATGGACTGTTTCTCATTTTGTTTTAGTTACTATTGTCATAAATCCACTGTGATCATATTCTTACCCATATTGGTAGGAATTTACTGTTTTCAGAGCGTGGTTGTTTCATTCTGGATTCTTCTTTTTCTCTGCTACCAATTTACTGGAATGATATTCACTTTTGATGGACGTAATCTTTAGTGGTCAAAATTTTTTGGGAGTCCAATATTCCTGCTCCACATTTCCTCTCTGTCCCTCTCCCTCTCTCTCTCTCCAAGTTGGAATTGCACCTGCACATTATTGTCCACACTGGCAAAGTTTGGAGGAAAACATATTTAGCATTCAATATTGACAAGGCTATGCTTAATGTTCCACTAGAAGGTGCCAGTTAGTAAAGTCTGTAAGCAGTCAAAACAAAGAGTGAGGACCTAAACTCAATTCATTTGTGTCTTTTTTAGCTGAGCCAGAAAATGCCCCCTGCCTCCTGTACAGATTTTCCCGTGCACTATGTAAGAGATATTGTTAATGGCATTCTTTATATTAATTACATTGCTCATATAATCATTTTAATTCCAACCCCGATTGGTTATTGATTCAGGACTCAGAAGATTTTATGTTGTCTATTTTTGCAGTGCCAAGATGCCGATGGTGTTGCAGTGTTGCCTGGTGAAAACCCCACCAAGCAGCAATGTGAATCACAGTTAGATATCCTAAGCCTTTCTGAAGTTCCGAATTCAAATAAATCTCATATGTACTTGGATGCCCAATCAAACCACCAAAATCACATCAATCTTAAGATGGAAAATGTGGATCTCTTTACGCCACACATTTTGGATATGGATATTGAGAAGGGAAAGTTGGAGATACCTAAATCCAATGATGAAACTATTGGGAATTTGAAGACTGAGGATCCATTAACTGTAAGTTCCTTGTGTATAATTTCTGATTTGGCTTCCTTAGTTGGAAGCCCAATACAAAGTTCGTCTGGGTTGAGAACAGATGTGATATCTTAGTTGTCTTATGAATTGGATCTTCATGCACCATATGTTTGGCATGTTTAATTCCCAAATTTTATGACTACTTGACAGCATTGGCAGAGGACATTACAGAGACAGCTTAGCTTACAGATAAAAGGGAAATTCATGCACCTGTTAATGACTGACAATCTTGTGTTGCCCAAGTTCATTTCTAGAGGTATAAAAGCATCTTTAAGCTCAATCACTCTCACATATATTTGTAGTGAGCAATTATTTCATGGGATCTTCGGTCTCGTTCTATGTTCTGTGTGGTATAATGTTTTCCTGTCCTAGATGTTTTCTGCCTATTTCTTTCCACAAAAATGGCCTGGATACTCTCCCTAGTCACGTAATCATTCAAAAGTAACAGAAAGGAGCAAGCTGTGATGGGGCACTCTAGGTGCTGAGAATGTGGCGTGCACCGTACTGAAGGATATGTTTCCTACTGAACGATGTTTCAATGTCTTTCCTCCTAATAAGGAATAAGAAAACATGAAAAGCAACGAATTTTCATGGAAATTTTTCTACATTACACCTAGCTGTAGCTACAGCGATCAATCATGAAAAAGAACAAGCACAACCGAGACTCCTCAACCAGAACTGTGGCTGGGATCCAACCCCTCAATCTGGCATGAAGCGTTGACATGATATAATCCAAACAAGATGCTGGGACGTAGAACATGCTGAGAAGCCAAGCCAGTTGGCCTGATGTTTAGATGATTCAAATGAAAACAACATTTTTTCTCACATTTCTCTTCTTTAGTGTGCCTTTTTCCTTCCTTGAAAAATAAAATGACCATTGTAAGCTGCAGCACTTCATACATAGTGAAAATTGAGTCTTCTCCTTCCCCTTATTTAAGAGATGTTTACTGATATATTATTAGTTCACACTCCGTCTGGCATGCCCTCAGACGGTATTAAGTTGAGCATTTACAGTTTCATATGTAGCTAGAACTGGACCTTGCGAATTTACTTGTCAGCTGTTGTTTCTTGTGTTCACAGATAAATCTGGAACTGAGAGAGTTCATGATACGCCAAATAACAGGTCGAGGAAATATAAACGTTCTGCCTCGTTCAATTCAAGAAAAGTTGTTCTCCTCTTCTCAGTCTTGTAAGCTCACGACCCATTATATCGTTGATTTTACTCATCTTGCAAGTTCACTAGTCCTTTCTTTTTCAGGCCGCATAAGTGCATCACTCTTCCCATCACTGAGTTTTTGGGCATATGCAAGCAATATTACACATAAAATAAATTGGAGAGAAGAACAGACTAATAGTACAATATCAAGTAAAATTGAGCCTAGGTATGGATCAAATTTTGATGTCAATCGCATCCAAATTCGAATCCCATTAGCGGGCATGGATTGATACTTTAGACCGATTATACGAAATTATATTCGTTTTATCAAAATTCGTGAATTCAAATTGGGTTATATTAATATCTGATCCGATTGTGTTTCCATCGTAATATCATATGTATATAGTAAAATTAAGTGGTTTGATGAAATTGACATGGAATTCATATAATCTGCTAGAATTCTAGCCATCTTGAGTTACCCTGATTAGATCATATATTTGGATCACAATTTTGACTTTTAACAGATCAGAAATGGATTGTGGAAACAAATCAGTTGGATATTGGGATCGGTAAAAATCCAATTGGAATCCAATCCGTTGGCATCCATAGTTGAGCCTGTGCTTTCTACTGCAAAATATGTATCAGCTATCTTAATATTGCCGAAGAGAAGAGGTGTTATCATAGTGAATGTACTTCCATGGTGATATAGCTTCANTTGAATCCGATCCGTTGGCATCCATAGTTGAGCCTATGCTTTCTACTGCAAAATATGTATCAGCTATCTTAATATAGCCGAAGAGAAGAGGTGTTATCATAGTGAATGTACTTCCATGGTGATATAGCTTCAGTCAACATGTACCGCTGAAAAGTGAAATACTCTTTTGCCTTTAACAAGAAAAGTTTTAGCCAACTAGATTCAAGTAGTGTAGTTCTTAACATCTTCAGGAGATGCTTCTTTCAAAACAATCATAAATTAGACACAGTCCAATGTTATTCTGACAGTGGAGTTAAAATGTAGGGGAATAGAGAGAATTCACTCACAAAACATTCCATATAGAAAGTCAATCCAGTACACGAGTCTCCCACTAATGTTGTAATTGGGTGAGTCAGATATGCATATCTTACCCCTATGAGGGTTATTTCCATGAATCATTGTGCAACATTATTATAAGAGAGAAAAAAAAAAAAAANATCTTCAGGAGATGCTTCTTTCAAAACAATCATAAATTAGACACAGCGTCCAATGTTATTCTGACAGTGGAGTTAAAATGTAGGGGAATAGAGAGAATTCACTTACAAAACATTCCATATAGAAAGTCAATCAAGTACACGAGTCTCCCACTAATGTCGGAATTGGGTGAGTCAGATATGCATATCTTACCCCTATGAGGGTTATTTCTATGAATCATTGTGCAACATTATTATAAGAGAGAAAAAAAAAAAAAAATAACATGAACACCTGGAAAAAAACTGCCATAGGTGAGGCTTTTAATGTATTTTCTTTTTGTTTCCCTTTTTAAATCTTGACATGCTGATGGTTGTTGCAATCACTAGTGCCCTTCACTTTTCTGTATTTTTCAACCATTAACTTTTATTTTCTTTCCAGGTCGAGTATGGGGACGATAATATTGATATATTTGACACTGAGAGCAAGGCAGATGGGTGATGGATATGCTCATGTCTGATAATGTCTAACCTTTTCCAGTTGCCAATCTTTTGTGAAAGAGTGTCTCTAGGGTTCTTCGGGTTTTCTTCGATTTCCTTTTTTCAGGTTTTAAATGCATTTTGGGTATTTTTCTTCTTCTCATGTACATAAAGTTGAATTCACTCACCCTTTCTAGTTCATGCTCCCCGTTATATAAACTAATCGTTTCATGATACAACTTGATTCTCGTTACACAAAGCACAAGTTTCACACTGCTTTTATCACTCATTCTGATGGCAGGTGTTGGCCCAACGGTAAATTTCTTTTGTTGTGACCTAAACACCATAGGGTTGAGTCACAAAAACAGTTTTATCCACTTGTGGGATAAGACTGTTTAGATCTGAGTTTTCCTAAAACCCTCAACAGCTAGAGGCTACCTCGTTTTTTATATGGAATAGTTTACTCCAGTTAATGGCTGAAATTGAGATGTGTTAAGTTTGTGTCATGCCAAAATTTACTCAACTTCTACCCGATTCACTAATCATAATGTATAATCGGGTTTTTATCGAACCAAATTTGCGTTAATTCATTTATTTGATGAATTTAATGGATATACACGTTTATTATTTGAATTATTAACACTAAACCAAACCCTATAAACTTTATATTGATTTTGTGTCTAGGTCCTGTTCAGAGCTACCACACCTACCTATAATGCTGAGAGGCTTGTCTACGACACCCTTTGTTTTTTGCATGGAAACCAATACAACTCGTCATATCAGCAATTTAAACATTACACAACAAATTTTCATTAAATGCATTATACTCTATTTTTTGTGGTACGTGGGTTGTTTATTCTGAAACACAATCATATTTGATTTTATGAAGCGAGTACCGGAAGGTGTGACATGGCAAATCGAGCTGAAGGTCATACCGCAAACCAAGTATGTTTAATCCAGCAATACCAAACACAATAAAAATGAATGATCTTTATAGATTTATTGTTTACCAAATAATAAGTATTCATCCTAAAAAGACGACTCGGAGGCCTGAATACATGTATACAAATCGAATCATATAGAAACAAGTGAAAAAGGTTAAATATAAATTTTTTTTCAAAAAATCTAATTAAGTATAATAGTGAAGACGTAAACAGAACATGATCCAACTATGAACCGTAGCATCTTTAGGGCAGACCATCGCTAGTTTCCTCTCTCTCAAGACTTGAAGAAACAACTTCCTGGTAGATTGTCAAGAAACAATCAAAACTGCTGAAACCTCACAGGACATCGAAATTATCTAATAACACCCCTTTACTCAATTTCGGTTTAGTATCAGGTGCTTCAATTGTCCTCTCTCTCTTTTTCTTCGTCTTAAAATACATTTGTCTAGCACGCGCAACCTCCCCCTTGTTGTTCTGTGTTGGATGTATTGGCCATAGGCTTCAAATTCACGTCAACCATGTCTTCCTGTTTTGTGGAGGAAAGAGTTTCCATCCCCGGCAATGCAGCAGCAATCTTACGAAATAGAGGCTGCAAGTTTACATTCACATCAAAACTCCCAAGTTACAAACAGTAAGCAACCAAGACAAGGACTCACTACTATTAAGCAAGATTCATAAAAGGATCACAGCAAGTCAAATTTGTGCCAGGGGAGATTCTTAACAAAGGAATACAACTGTTTTTGGTCCAATGATACTCCTTCCCTTCATGAGGTCAAAGATTCAAGTACCTCTCCCCTTTCCCCTTCCCAAAAAATAAAAAATAAAAAATAAAAAATGATGAGTCAAACTTGAGATATGACTACGTTATTGGATTCCAAGTCCAAGAATTCTCAAAAGACAAAATGACATGATGCTTTACTACCTTGATATTGAATCCCGCTTTCGCACTGGTTTCTATGAACATGATCCCAAACTCACGAGCCTTGGAATCCCCTTCTTCTATTGAAACTTGCCTATTTAATAATCACAATTGCACCATCAGATAAATGCTAGAAGAAAATGACATGAAAATCCATAGGATATTTGGACAGTATATAGCTGCTGAAGTCTGATTTTACTTTCATTTTCTTACTGGAGAAAAACCATTTAAGTTTACTTGCAACTACAAGAATATGGGAGAACAAAAATTTTCTTCCTCAAAATATGGACACTTAAACAATCACCCCAAGTTGTTCATAAACCGTTAGTAGGCAGTGTACACAAAATCCATGAGCTACAAGAAAGATATAGCTCTACAGCCTCTACCTAAANCGTAAACCGTTAGTAAGCATTGTACACAAAATCCATGAGCTACAAGAAAGATATAGCTCTACAGCCTCTACCTAAATCCTTCCTCAAAAGAATATGTAGTATTTGATCTTTTACTGGAAAAAAAAAAGTGTTTCTTTTGGGAAGGGGGAAAATTTCACCACATAAGGAAGCAGCACAAAAGAAAAAATGGAAACAAAATATTGTTAATTCATAGCTCCAAGTTGTCAAGAAGAAAATCCATAACCACGGAAGGNAAGTGTTTCTTTTGGGAAGGGGGAAAATTTCACCACATAAGGAAGCAGCACAAAAGAAAAAATGGATATTGTTAATTCATAGCTCCAAGTTGTCAAGAAGAAAATCCATAACCACGGAAGGGGTAAAAAAGATGCCAAGGGCGAAGTGACAACTAGATAAAGTTGGAGGTCCTGGTCCAAGACTCACTTAAAGCCATTCCTTAAAGGTTTGTCCAGGTAATTATTTCATGAATATGAAACAAGAGAACTAAATGTACAAGGAGGATTAAGCAGGTGTTTCCGAGTGACCATGATCCATATCTAAACAATGAGTGTTAAGAGTGCGGTTGTCAAATACAAAAAGAAACCCAACAGTTCATTCCCTACCTTTTATCAACAAGATCAGTTTTATTACCGACAAGAACAATGATGACATCACTGCCTCGTTCTGTATGTACTTCTTCAATCCACTTTGACGTGTTCAAAAATGATTGTCGATCTGCATAGATGCAATTTGGCATGACATTAAAGAATACAGGAATTATCCAATTACACAGAAACAAAAATTGCAACACTAATAATGGAAAATGAAATATGGTACATATGTTTGCAAGCATGAATACAGCTGTGTGCAATTAACGCATAATTAAGTTCTCTGCAAAATACAGAATCTATGTATTTTCTAAATGAGTCTTTACCCATGTATTAGCATCTATTTCTTAAAAACCTATCTTCTTTACAATATAGAATACCACTCACTAGCAACGTCATAGACAATCACTGCAACGGAAGAATCTCGAATATAGCTTGGAATAAGACTCCTAAACCTCTCTTGGCCAGCTGTATCCCTGTAAAGTTGGATTATTGGTTGTTTGAAATAAAAAATGATAAAAGAAATGCATACGATGTATTTATTGAATACATGATTGAAACAACCAACATTCAAGAACACAATATTGAACATTCTAATAAACAACCAAACTACCCCTTATCCAACTGCCCATTACAACCTTTTGCAAAACATCATCAATTTGACTCCACAGAAAAAAATATCCTGAATTTGTGAATCATTTCCTTTTAATAAATATTAGTAGTCATAGGACCATAAGGTTTTGTAGAAAAGTTCACATTTGTATCTTTCAATAACTAATTTTTTAAGTTTCACAGGTAATACTTCATGTGACTCAAGGCAACTCTTCAAGTTTCTGCTTTAAAAAGTCTATCAATTGCAAAGGTTATAGGAAGTAGTACCCACTCAGGAACAGTTACCTATCTGGTCTTGGAAAGAAAAAAGAAAGACATCCTACCAAAGCTGCAGGCGTACTGTTCGATCTTCAAGGTACATTGTTTTGGACAGAAAATCAATGCCAATGGTAGCCTGCATATAAAATTGCTAAAACGTAAGCAAAAGCTTTAGTCTGATTCAATAAATTAGCTTGAGGAAATGAATTACCAAGTTGTACCATATCGTAGAATGGTGACAGAAAAGGTGCACTGCAGTGTAACAGAGCAATTTTAACATGAAAAAAAAGATAGGAACAGATTCATCCATTCAAGGAGAACTGGAGCTGCCATCTAAGGATTCGGAATTCTAAAGTTATGTGCATATTGCAGACTTGCCATCAATAAATGTATTAACCACCATTTTCTATGGAATTATAACTTTAACGTGCCAGGATCAAAGAAGTCCAAATTTTTCTATCTTCCAAATCAAGTTCACGAGTACGCGTGGATCCAAAAGATATGTGTAAATTTAATTTTTGTTGTTTAAATTGTGTTTTCTTTTTTTCCTCACGGACTAACTGTAGGTGGGCATTGGGTGGGTTGGGGGTAAAAAGAGTACTCATTATGGAATTAATGTACAATATTGCCGAAGCCCAGAGGTGTATCTGTGTTTGGAGAAGTAGGTGAAAGAAATGATCTTCACATGGAAATGAAAGATTCTGAGGTGATTAATTAACAAAATATTTCTGAAAAGTGGCTCTAGCATGCAGTCAAATGAATGAACCTCCGCGAGCCAGTATGAGAGTTGGCCTGATTCTCTCACAGGAACTGACCAACAGGATTTTAAAAATTCAGCTACCAGATTTAAACTAGTTTCCTCTGCTGAGAGAAAGAAAATATCAAATCCTATCATTACTCGTGTGATGTAAGTTGACCATACTGCCAGAACCCCACGATCATGTAGATAGCACATATGGTTGTGTGTGCGCCATCCCTTTTTGGCTCAGTATCATCGCTGAATAAAAACAAGTTTCTGGACACTTATGGAACATGTGTAATCATCGCTATGCAAATATGACATTGACCTGAACACTCAGTCAATTATATTTCCATTGAACACAACTATATTCAAATACAAGACATGCAAGGCCTATACATACACACCACCAAAATTAAAACTGTATTTTCATGAGGACACCATGGAAATCGATATAGAAATCTCTGAACCTTGAATTATCAATATAAATCTAAAGATGCAATAAAATCACATTGGAAAACCAAATCAACATATCATCACATCAACTTTAACAGGAATTACACAAGAATTTTGAAAAGTGGATGAAGATAATGAAGAAAAACATGGAATTGATTTATTGCACAGTACCTGATAGGTAGTGTCGAATTTGTCGTACATGAAGCGAGTGATGATGCTGGTTTTACCGACGGATTGATCGCCCAAGAACACCAGCTTGTATTTCGCCAGAGGTGACACCACTGCCATATTGATTCCTCCAAAAAATTACAGAGTTGTTTCTCAATCTCTCTCTCGCGTCACGAGGTTGGCGTTAGTACGATCAGATCTGAATCAATATTTTAGAGGTTTGGAGAGAGAGAGAGAGAGAGAAGGGAGATACCAAACGACCAATGCTATTGCTGGCTTTGAATAGGATTTACATACAGTGGGAGAAGAAACCGCCAACGATATGACGAGGACGCCAAGTCAAATTTTTCAATATTACTTATGGACCTATTTTGCCCCTAGTTTTAGTTGGAATGACCTCCATGCCCTTTTCAATAATACCAACCCACGAACTCGACACACAAGATTTTTAAAATAAAATAGTCCATTAAAATATAAAATAAATAGATTAAATTAGTGGTAGACACGAATGATATATTTAGTTGTTATTATTATTTGTAAAAAATAAGTATTTTTTTAAAAAAATTTATGTAATATTATATGAATCTTTTAAGAATTAAATACTTTTTAATTAACATAATGACTCAAAATGACGTGAACATGACACTAATTAACTCTTCCAATAAACATTGTGTAAATAATAATTTTGATCAAAGATAAAGAACATTTTCTCCATAAAGATCTAATATTGACATGGTGATCTCCATCAAAATCAAAATCTTATGATAAAAGGCAGAGATTATTGTCTCAACTCTTTCGTTTGATATTTATTGCACCCCTCTTTTGGGATTTTTTTTAAAAAAAATATATATATTTTTTTGAGTGTTTTTTTTTTCTCTTCATTGTACTAGTAATATACGGATATTCATATTTAAAAAAAAAAACTTACAAAGATTTATCTTTTTGAAAGAGCTAAAAAGAAAGGGCAAAAATGTCATATGACTCATTTTATTTATGTACTACCAATATCTCGAGCATAAAGACATTCTACAATATAAAAAATTGAACATTAATTGTATTTTAAATAATAAGATTTTTATTTTTTTCTTTTCTTTTCTTTAAGATTGAGGTAGGGGAGATGGAAGGGAGAAGAAAGTGTGAATTAGTGATGATGTTTGACACTAGGAATTGTGTAGAGAAAATGATATTTTTGAGCAACAAATGAAATTTAAGATTAATTTTATATCATTGGATCAAAATAGGAGAAACTGTATCCACCTTTTGTTGTTAGAATAGAATGTGGGCTTTTTCTAGACTAAATACTATACATTTGCTACACTAACATCCATTTTTCACCAACGTGCAGGGAGGTTTTGGAGTGCTTGGTGAATCTGGAAAGTCAACATTGCATNTAAATAATAAGTGATGGGCTACTTAAAAATAACAATTATCTTGCTATTAGATGTTGGCTCGACAGTTTTATACATGACTTGGGTGCTTGGTTTGACTTGATAACTTAAATGAGTCAGTTGAACAAATTTTAATGCGACATATTTGATATAGTGTAATCATTTAATAATAAAATAATAAATAGACAAGTTAATTTTATACAATTAAATGTAATGTAATAATTGACCCATGTATAAAAATAAGATAGACTTTGTCCATTTATTTATTTTTTTTGTCATTAGATGGTATTGACGTGGTATTACCATTATAATAAATTAGTTATTGCATGTGCCTGAAAGTACAGAATAATAAAAAATGATAAATGATAAATATATTTGTATTTATATTTATATTCAAAATCAAATCACAAATAGAGAGGATAGATAAATGAATTTAAGTATCGGTTGTAGTGAGAGTGAGAGGTACCACAACAGTGATACAAATACCTCTAAATGTGATCAAAGTTACCACAAATGTGATAAATTTTAGTATGGTACCGAAAAACTCTTTGGTTTTACCGTAGCCAATTCCTGGTAGACAATATGGCAAAAACCTTAATAACAAAAAAGAAACTAACTATATTTAGATTAAAATCATGTGATGAGAGCAAAATGGGTAATGAAAACCAATAACTAGATAATCCCTTAACATTTGCACCAACACAGTATGCAAGTTTTTTCAAAAATTGGAGGACTTTTTTATACTAAAATTTCGATACGACTCAAATTAGCTTACACACCAAAGGAGGAATCCTAGCCAAATTATAACTCACCTGTCCTAGATTTTTTTTATTTTTCCCGCCCCCCCAAAAAAAAAAAAATAAATAAATAATTGGCCTCTACTTACACTAATTTCCCATATGTATGGTTCTAAAGATGTATGTATTTACGGTAAAGTCGAGGCCAACTTCAACACCGGAGAACTCCCCAAAAGACTCCGCTAACCCCAGCCAGCTAAGAGCATCTTATTGTCAAATTCAATCGTAAATGAACATGGTCCTTTCATTAGAAATTAAGCCAAAAACTTGAAATATTCTTAGAACTCCCTATTCATACGACATCTTTTTTTTTTTTTCCATTCATTCTCTTTCAGGACCAGTCATGGTCTGCTAAATCTCACCGATAGTTTGAACAAATCATTCCCTTCATCCAAATGTACTATACTGATAAAAAAAAAAAATCGATATCATACTTTCAAAATTTATTATTTAATGTATATTTTTATAATTTTTGTTAATCGTTTTATAACCAAAAATTTGTTATTTTGTGGGTAATTTATCACTTTTGTAAGTATTTTTATCACTGTTGTGAATATTTTTACCAATATTACGGTAATTATTTTTATCACTTTTATTTGGTACAAAAAAAATTATTATTTTTGTAAATGATTTATTACATTTATAAGTATTTTTATCATTGTTGTAGTAACTATTTTACCACTTTTTTAATACAACAAAAATGATAAAAATATTTACAATAATAATAAAATATCTATAAATATAATAAATAAAAGTATAGTACAATATATATATATATATACACGTAGACTACTCCCGAAGCCAAAAGAGTACTTTGTAATTAGTCTCTTGTCTCGTATTCACGGAAAGTACCAGCATCGTGTACTAGGGGACAGCCACAGTTTAGGCTGATTTCCGGGCACTCAACTTTATCCTTGTGTGAAGTTTCAAACACTTATTATTTACCAAAATTCATTTGTCTTCGAACTGAATTTCCTTCTTGTAACAGTATTTTTAATTTTGACTCAAATATAGACTGAAATTTAAATTTGAGTTAAAATAGTTTAAAATCAAATCCATACCAAATCAAGAAAAAACTTATTTTGGACTCAAATTAAAATAGACTCAAATTCTATATCAAATTTCTAACGGTAACTTTTTAACCTATCCAAAACTAAAAGACTTTTTTGATTACTTATTCTCTGTCTCTTCTTGCATTTCTCTACGACACTACTTCCATCGTCGACTACCACCGAAACTTTCATAAATCATTTGAAGGCCTGTAGGTAAGTTTTTTGCTTTTCATCTTCCATTTTCTTAATTTCTTGTATTTTTTAAAATCTTAATCTCACCCATCTTTCATACTATATAAACTCTAAGCTTACCCATCAAATTTTTCTTTTATTTTTTTGAGTTAAACACTATCGGTAGTGCAATTTCAAACCACCGATTCTTCTTGAAATTTTAAACTTTTAGTACCCACAAATTTAAAAAATTTATTATTTTATTTCTTCAATCTTCCCTTTTTGTTAAAAAAAAATATGTTTTTTTTATTCTTCAGACTATGCCCATGTTAACTATTTTTTTTTCTTTATCTGGATTTATAAAAAATGATAAGGGATTAGAATAATCTTAGAATTCTGGGGTGGTTTCTTTATTGTCATATAGTGTTATATACATATATATATATATATATATATATATATATATATATATTTTTAATTATCCATTTGTGGAGATATGAAAATTTCATTTTTTTTTTATCAAATATTATGATTTGAATAACACAAAAAAAATGAGTTTTGGGATAATAAATTTTTTTTTTAAAAGATTTGAATAAATATTTGAGTGTGTCCATTAGAGTACTATATACTAAATCAAACTTTTTACTCAAATTTGAGTCTAAATTTAAGTCACGGTTGGAGATACTCTAACTTGTTTCGCAATATATATTGCTTCCATGAAGGCACAAAAAAATATAAAATTGAAAACTTAATTTCATTATATTAAATAACTATTTTTTTCTTCATTTATTTGATTATATCATTTAAAATTTATTTTTATCTATTTTTTTTAAAAAATATCTACAAAATTTTCTCAAAATACATAATTCGATAACATTTTCTCAACATGTATATATTATTATATATAGATAATATCTAAAATAAAAATAGGGGTTTCTTGCCTTCCAAATCACCTCACTAATGAAAAATCATCCCTTTTCATGTGAGGTGAACTTCTACCTGCTAGTGAGGAATCACAATATTCAACTATAATTGCACTTGTAAACACTAGTCTCAGATAATGACCAACTGACAACATTCCTAGCTCGAGAAAATACATAGAAATTTAATAACACGAGGTTACTACGTAAATTTCTAAGTATTGCTGTGTGAATTCCAAAAGATTCAGAAGGCAGGGATCTGGTATTTCAAAATTTAATGTTGGTCCACTAGAACAAAACAAATTGATACCTTGAACTCCCACTAAGAGGAAAAACGGAACCTCCCATTGTATTCTGATATCCATTGAAAATGCATTAGGCATCACATAGAGAAGACTAAATGAGCACATACAAACACATTTACACAAGCTGTAAGTGTTTGAAACAGCCTTACATTCTTGAAAGCCATAAAACCATCCACTAGCCAAGTTATGTAGTCTGTATTGGACTTGTCATATCCAAAATTCTCTCTTTTCTCGTAGATATAACCCGAATTCCCTTTCAATCCAGTATTTGGTTTGGGACAGCAAACTTAGAAGAAATTGAAGAAGTCATCCATCAACCGCCTCAGCAGTACTCCCCTTTCAACCACAGACTCACCTCTCCAACATTTATTCTCACCATGCATACGGCTTACAAATATGAATCTTGAATAAGCATGCATGAGAGACAGAGATAAGAGTTTTATGATCAGACCAGAACCAGCCAGCATAGTGCTCTCAATACCACCATAGTGTGCTGTCACATATATTTGAAAATGCTGAGATAAAGCTAGGAAGGAGAACTTTCTTAAGTAACAACAGTACAACTTCCATAAATTGTGACCATTTCAAGACAAGTATGACATAATAGAGGTAGTACTTCACGTTTACTATCAATGCCAGCAGCTCAATACGAAAGGCTTACAAATCAATGCAGTTATTTTCATATATCCTAAAATATTTAACATAAAGTAAGCTGATAATACTAGTAAACGATGCCTATAAGTCCAGATTTGCTGAGAGACTGACACATACATGGTATGGAAAAGAGAATTCCACAAAACGTGTGGATATATCAAACCCTAAAAATTACCACGTGCACTGTCCCATGTTCTCAAACAATTCTTACTTAGAGAAATTATGGGTTTTGTTTTCGTAGCAAGTAAAAATGAGGGTGGCAATACCAGGCAAAGAGAAAGCAGCAAGCGAAGAAAAATCGGACCAGGAAAATAGATGATCATCCACAAAAAAGGAAATCAAGACCCTCAAAGAAGAACTGGAGGAATTAAAGATAATAATGGCAGACATGCAGCAGGGCATCATATAACTTTCAGTGCTGGAGCTAGAACAAGTGTTAAGAGTGTGCAATGAAATGGGAATTACAACAGCATATTCGCCTCCTCCAGCTGCATGCTACACCTGGTGTTCCCTTACAGTAGTCCTTAACACCACAAATTTTTTTCTTTTCGCACAATGCACAGCCAGCTTCAAAGCAACTACACAGGGTTCAAATTTGTGTTTTGCCAAACTGTAACAGGCAAAATCTCAGATGCTTGAATAGTAATGAAGCCTTGATGCATATACCCATTAGGGGGCTGTTTGGATTGGATGATCTTTATGGGGGAATTGGATTGCATTTATCAAACCATGAAACAATTTACCTTATCCAATCCCATATTTGTTAAGTGAAACATATACATACAGGCCCACAGATTTATGTCAAATCATGTACAGAATTAATTTTTTTGTTACTTAATTGACTAAAATGTTCATTAAAGTGAATAGGAGAATGAATTTTTAGGTAAAGTAGCTTTTTAATCTACAAATCCAATTTTTTACTTTTGAAACCCCATGGATTTCGTCAAACCCCATCAGTGGGTTCTAATCCACTGTCGCTAGTGGATCGGGATTTAAATCCCAAGCCTCAAATCTTGAACCAAACATGGGTTTAGAAGGTGCATTGGACTATTTCCATAAAACCCACCCGCTAAATCTTACTCAAACTCACATACCAAACAGGCCTTAGATGTCTCCCAATGTACTACGAGACAGAACCTGCCCAAAAGTTTCATTTTAATTGTACCACAATTGACCTCAGATGCACTGAACCATAGTGCGTGAGAAGACTACACATCTGTCCAGCTCATATGCATGTCTACCGGCGACATTTTTTAAATTGAACCTAATCAACTGAAAGAACCACAACAACCAAGCATGGCAGATCTTGAACATTTGATCCTGAATGAAACACAAACAGATACAGAACCTCAAAGTGACATATGCAGCCAAGGAATCCTGACATGCCAATAAAAATATACCTCTCCCTTCATTTTCCTAATCATCTAAGAGTGAGGTGCTCATCACATATAATTACATCCCATTATACTTTGATTTTTATTCATGCCCAATCACCAATCCTTTTCAAGTAACTTGTCATGCTCAGGTGGCACAACATAGAAACCGAAAACATCCATTTTCAGTTCTTACTGTCAACTAGCAATGACCACTGTCACCACTCATAAAACTTTTGTGCTAAAACATCCAAGAACCTTTGAATCTTAAATAATAGGATTTATATGGTACAAAGAAAAGCTAAAAAAATCGTAAGACAGGAAAAGAAGAATGAAAAAATTCTTACACTTCTAATGTCATCAACATGAAAAAATCATTACCTATCCAATAATCGCACGGTGTCCCAACCAACTAGAATTCAATTGCTATAATAAGTAACCCCAATAGATCATAACTACTAAGCCATGAAACAAAAAGTACCTAACAAATTGTCATACTCATGACCGCAAGTAACCAGTAACATTTTTGAAAATTATCTAACATCATCTCAAGTCTCAACATCATCAACTCACTGAAACCGATCATCAAACACGTAGAAACCAATGTAAGCAACACCACTTTAAAAAAAAAAAAAAGTATTTAATTTCTCATATTTCGGCAAAATCCAAACTACCTAGAAGACGAAGATCGCATGCTGGTCCACGGAAACCTAGCGCCACCACGATATCCACCAGTGGAAGTGGTCTCAGCCTTAAACTTTCCACCATCCTTATCCTGGAGCCAATGTGACTTCTTAGCTTCTCCGTCTTCAACAATGCTCGATTTTGCTTGCTTTTTCATGTTCTGTTTGTCTTCCTCGATTAATCGGATAGGGTATAGGTCAGGCGAAATTGAAAGAGGGTTCTTGAGAGTGACGTAGGCCTTCTTGTAGTCCGGTTTCGCAATCAATAGTCCGCCTCTCTTCTTCTTCTTGCCGTCCATGTTTAAGGTTCGGACTTTTTCCACTTCGAAACCATACAGTGATTCCAATACCCTCTTGATTTCAATCTTCATATCAAATTAAAAATCCAAAAAAAAAAAAAAATGAGTCTAAGATTATACACACACACACAGACTCCGAGAAAGAGAGAGAGAGAGAGAAGAGATTTAATGTGAGTTTTGTACCTTTGAAGCCGAGGGGATGGTTTTGAGGGCAATTTCGGAGATGTTGGAGAAGGAAGAGGGCATGAGAAGTTTAATGGGGAGGTTAGCAAAGTGAACTACTCTTCTTCCCAGTCTACTTCCCATCTCTTCCTCTTTCTTCTTCTTCTCTGCTTGTCCTCCTTCCTATTCTCACTCTCAATTTTCAAACTATCACCAGTGAGATTTTATTCCCAGGATAATTTTTAAATATTTTTTTAATTTTTCAAAATCTCATTTTTATAAAATCATAATTTAAATTTTAAACCTCCATTTTCACTATAAGCTGAGGTAATTGGTGATAGCGGGTGGCAACAACGGTGAGCGATGATAGGTGGTGATAGATGTGGTGAGGGGTGGGTGACATTGGTTGATGACCATGGTGGGCGACAAAGGGGGGAGATGGGTTATGGTAATGGGTGGCGGTGGGTGGTGACAAGTGACGATAGTAATGAGATGATGATGGGCGACGGTAGTAATGGAATGATGATGACAGTGATAAGAAATATAAAAGTTACATGACAATGATAATAGATGGTGGTAATGGACAACGGTGGTAGCAATCAATAATAGAGTAGGGTGATTGTGCGATAGTGGTAGTGGGGGGGGGGGCAACA